CATTTATCCATGCAACAGGCACTTGGATAACAATTTCATTATTTGCAACGAAGATAATTATGTCAACAACACCCTAGACGGGTTCAGTAACTATCCTCAACCAGTTAGGTTGACAATGAAATTAGAGTCTGATTTAGGATTTCACTTCTTGGATGTTTTGGTAAAAAAAGAACCTGACGGTTCTCTACAAAGATCGTGATATGGAAGGCCAAGATGGAATGGTCAGTACACGAATTTTTAAAGTAGGGTCCGACTAATATAAAAGAGAAACCTGACCCGTTCTCTCTGTTCGAGGATTATATGTATCTGCACCGAATATTCAATCAACATCAGATTTGACAAACCGGCAGATACTGAGCAAGAACGGATATCCACCTAGATTCATTGAGAAAAATTTAAAGCCAAAGAAACGGCATGTAACAGTTTCCATAGCACAAAAGAAGCCTCTCTGCATGAACATTCAGTTTAAGAGAGAAACTGCAGAAGAAATTCTGAAAAACAAATTTTCAAGATCTCAGAAAAACTTTCTATTCGACTGGACTTCGCATTTTCTAATAGGTCAGTGGTTCAAAGTTGTGAGAAGAGCAAGCTCTCGCTTTGTGCCAAATCAATGTGTATCTATCATTTTACTCAGTCACGTAGAGCAGGTGATATTAACCACACAAAGCGAGCTCTTCCGAAACACATCTCCGAACCTTACTCTCCCTGGCTCTCCAAAGATAACAGAAACTAGTCAAAAGCTCAATCTTGGAGCATCTAGTCAATTCCGGCCATTCTGCTTCACCAGAAGCCTCCTTTTAAATCATAAATACAGTCAGAATAGTCGGTTCACAGGGAATGGAAATGAAAAACTTATGTATAACAGAGGTTCTTGATATCCATTAGTTTACTCCTAACCTTTACGTACAACAACAGTGTGTTCAGTCCCTCACTCTTCCAATGTCTTTACCTCTGTCCTATCTTCCATTATCTATCTTTTTCATCTTTATTGTATTATTTCTACTCCTTTCAAACTATTTTCATAACTATTATTTGTCAGTTATTACAATTAATTATTCTGTTGTTAATGGCTATCAAGTGGACAATTATTTTCAGTTTATCACTTTTTCATTAGCTGATCAATACATAATTTCCTTTCAATATCTGATTTTCAAGTCTTGACAACATAGCGCTTCAAATTTTTAAAAAAATAATTGACACCTTTTCATTTTACTTTAGAATACTGTTTTAGCAAATAAAATTAACCATAAATACGATCATACATCTTAAGTAAATGAAATCGTCGAAAAGAAAGTTTTTTTCGTCAAAAACAAATGAAATGGGAATTATTAAGTCATGTCTCTAACATAATCACTCAGAATGATTGCTTCGTAATGTTTAACTCAAGTAGTTATGTAAAAATTAGGGATTCATCAGTCAAATAGTATATTTACTTGACTCCATACATCGTTGGTGGAGAGGAAAAGATTGTGAAATACTCCCTTCTATAATAAGTTAAATTCTAGTTATTAAGATAATAATAATTAACTTTGAGATGGTGGGGAAGATTTGTAGTTCAGGTGGATGATTTTGATGCAGTTTTGTTCTCTGAACTGGATGGTTTGGTCGTGGAGCGTTCATCGTTCTTCCGAACGACATCATCCGAACAAACTTCATATTAACATGATTTCACCAGTTTAAGAATTATCTGTATTGTATGAAATATCATTTGATACCTTATTGACTATTCTATATATTATATGAAAATATCCTAGTTTTGAGATAATTATATGCTTATCATCAGTTCATTTAATCATAAATGTAGAAAAAGCAAGTGAAATTGTCTATAATAAGTTTTATTCGTTGATTAAAGTATTGTGAGAATCTTTATATCGAGTATCATATAGTTAGGATATATTGGACACTTTGAAGTTAACCAGTTAAAAAAATTGTAATACCACTTTCAACTACAGGTGAGACTATAATTTATGGACGACCATTGAGCGACGCCAAAGTGACCTTGAGGATGTCCACCTACTAACTAAGACTAAATGAAGGTTATAAATCAGTGTGAGGAATTCGAATTATGATTTACAGTTGATGGTTAAGATTAAGGATTTGTTTAGGGTTTTCCTCGCGAACTGACATCAGCTATAATGCCAAAATGGTATTTGGCCAGATGGACGAATGAATTTCGTACCAAAATCTAAACCTCGTTATCTTATATCCGATTGGTTTCTCCATAAATTATACTCTCACCTAATTTTTATAAACTGTTTTAATGATTTAAAGACAATTTATTTAGTTAACTATCTTAAAAGTCATAGACCGGATAATAATTTATGTTTCATACATGTATATTCACTCTGGATGGATGAAGTAGGATAAACTAGGTTGTTCAGATTATGTTAAAATCTGACTATCTGTAAATATCAAGGGTATTATCATTTATTTATTTATTATTCTATTTATATAACTGGTTTTCATCTACTCTGGTTGTATTTCAACTAATTATCTTGCTTTCATTAATAACTGAAGAATAACCAATACCAGTGTTGATCTAATTCTGTCTAAAAAGTTGCAGTATGGTGACTAATCAAAATATCCAAACATCATGCGCACCACTTTATGGTTTTAAATGGTCTCAGATGGTTTATAGGGGAACCATGACTTGCTGGTTCGGACTCATCAGCATGGGGTAATTTCAAAGGTAAAGGAACTGATATTACTGATTGGAACCAAACTCATGTAACTCAATTTCACAGTTGAAAGAGTTACCTATGAATGTCGGTAGAGATATTCCGTGCTGTCTGATTTTTGTTAGTAATCTAAGAGAGGTCGATGCATGCTAAAACAATTTTCAGTTCAATGATTTAAAAATTGTTCACGAACAGTGTCCTGAGAATGTTTACAACTTTATACTACTTATTAGTAGTTAAACGTTTCAAAATTGAAATAACGAGGGTTATAATATTGTGAAATCGAATGTGATAAGGATAGTTGCCACTTGACGAATATGAGAATGGGGAAGTACACATTAAGAACATAAAGATGACAACAACTAATAACTAAAATCAAAATTAATGGGATTAAAAACAGGAGAATTTAATAAAATCAAATGACCATTTCTGAAAATTAATTGCTAGTGTCATGGAAGAATAATAGCCTGTGTGTATCTCTTTCACAGAGTTCATGTTTTAAATGATCGATTGCTAGCTTCTCTACACTGCATGATTCATTAAATTGTGCCCTTTTCGAAACGAATTGTCTGACTGTATAGATGATTTTAAAAGATTTGTGAGATGGTGCCATGTGACCCGAGTTCACAATATGTTTTAATATTGAACTGTTGATTGATTTATTTTCGCCTTTCGAAAGCCATGAGGGATAATATTCAGAGATGTGCCTGTAAAGCACTTGATTTATGTGTCCTGTGTAACCTGCTCCACATGTGCACATTGAACTGACCTAATGCGTGCTTTACCCTTGACACACCCATGAATGATGAAAGGGCTAGAAAGGATGGTACGAAGCCTAGTGGCATAAAAAAGTTTCCTCAAGGACTTCGTTAGACGATCATTCAAAATTTCTACAGTGGTTCCTTCTTTGAACTCAATGTTCAGTTTTCCTAGAATCTGTATGAATCCTTATAGATTGTTATTTCGGTTTCATGTTACGTTTAATAAACCTGGTTGGATCATAGTTTTTGGGGAATATTTGTTGGAAGTTGAGTAGTTCCTCGTTTATTTTATCCTCCGAACATGTTCACCTATACCTTTATGATAAGGGTTGAATTAAGTTTGTCTTTCTGCCTAATGGGACTCAGCTGTGAAAATTCGTGTATCATCCGTTCTAAGTTGGTTGTCTGCATAAACAATCTTTCAATGTGCCATCTTGTCTTCTATTTAAAAAGACATCGAGGAAATGAAACTTTGAGTTTGATTTTGATTCCAATGTGAATCAGATGGATTAATGACAACCACTGAACTGATCCAGGATGATATTGAGGTCACTGTTTTTATTAGATATAATAAAGTATTTTATCCAAGAAGGGAATTGTTAGAATTTTTTATAAGTTATCTTGGTTTTAAAAAATGGAAAAGTGAACCAAGTTTTATTTTACTCTTGACCTCAGAATACAATAGTTTTCGTTTAATTTGTACCTCTTATACGTCGTTCATATATTCTTAGTAGATAAAATTTACCAAGACGTTTTAAGAATGATTATTTACGTATTTTCACATTTCACAAAATGACAGGATATTAAGCTAGGTTTTTCACTTCATAAGTCAAGGTAAAGTTAGTATCATACTGAACAACGAAAAGTATACTATCAGTTTAGCTGTTTTGGGGACTGTTAAGTTTGAATTGAAATCATGAGTCAATTGAAGCTAGATCACCATGGGAAACCTGGGAGCACTGGACGGCCGTTTCGTCCTAGCATGGGACTCCTCAGCAGTGCGCACCCACGATCCCGCACCCGGCGAGACTCTAACTCAAGACCTATCAGTCTCGCGCCAAGCGCTTAACCAACTAGACCACTGGTGTTAATGTCTAACAATAACACCATTGGATGCCGGCTCACGGGGTGCCGGATCGTGGATGCGCACTGCTGGCGAGTCCCATACTGGGACGAAATGGCCATCCAGTGCTTCCAGGTTTTCCATGCTGGTCTAGCCTCAATTGACTCATGATTTCAATCGAAAAGTATACTAGTTAAAGTTGTGTTGTTTTGCTACATAAACTTAATTAACAAAATGATGAATGTATAGAACTCCATACTTTCTTATTTAATTCATGAACAGGGGATTCAGTGTGATTTAGGTGTTTTTTATGTTATATTCAAAAATCCTTTCTTAACATTGGGCTCAATTTAACAACTAAATAATTATGGTATGTCTGTATTCTCAACAGGAACATATTTTGAGAACTGTCACCAGTAAAATTTTTTCCACAGTTTATATATATATATATATATTTGTTTCTAAACAAATAAATACTCATAATCTTAATGATTTCAGTTGTATGTTACCAGGACTCAATTATAAAGAAGTTACGTTATACATAATGGATATTTGTACTGCTAGTCAATCACAATGTAGAACTCGACAATGTATTCAAACCTCTTCAATATGTGATGGTAAAGCTGACTGTCTTGATAAGTCAGATGAGGGTAGCAGTTTTTGCAGTGAGTACTTATTTATTTTTTTATATATATCTATTTATCCGTCAAATGTGTTCCATTTTTGTTTTACAGATAATGATAGTTTATTTAAAGTTTATGATTATGTAATTAGTTTTAAATTTCATTTAGCCAAGGAATTTATAAACTTGATCATTCATAATAAGAATAATTAGCTTTTATCATGTATATAATCTTTGCAAACTCTTCTAACTTGTCTCTACTTTTTATACATTTTTATCTCATATTTTAATTATAATTCAGAATTTCATTTTCCTTTGTAGATGCTGGACTTACTGTGATTCCAACTCGTATTGTAGTTAAACCATCAGAACCTTTTTCACTTAAATGTCAAACTATTTTACCAGGGACCAGAATGCCACATGCACGTTTTGTACATAGTGGTCAAGATGTAGAGTCCGATCCTCGATTTATCATTGAGAGATCTCCAGGTATTCTGCTTATTAAGGCACCATATGGACTTTCAGTAGAAGCCAATGACACAAGAATTGAGTAAGTTGATTAACTTATTTCATAAATTCTTAGTAATAATAGAAAAATAGTTTTTTCTATTGTTGTATTTGGTTGACTGACTACCATAGTTTACGTCTTTCATTGCTTTATCTTACAGATGTTACTTTCCCGATGAAAGCCCTAGAACTGCAATAATCAATGTAGTTACTGATCGATGTGGATTAGGATACTTCATGTGTTATGACGGAAATTGTATACAACAATCTCAGAGATGTGACGGGCAAACTCAATGTCCCGATGGATCTGATGAAATTAATTGTGGTTAGTTCAATGTGCATTTAACAGCTGATTATCAAAAATGCTTTTTTGGTAACTACGTACATTTTGGAAAATTTCCTCAATAACTTTCATTTTTTCTTTAGTGGCACAGTTTAGTTTCGATAATGCAATGAGAAGACAAATTTTATCTGAATTATGTGATATATTTGCGCAATAAATTTCGAATAATTTGATCACATGTATACTTAAGACATTTTTATATGAAAATTAAAAGGCCAATCAAACAGGTTAAAGGTGGGCCGTAACAAAGATAAATAATAATTATAAAGTACACAATAAATGTGATTACCACTTTGGATAATAAATCAGTATTACCAGGGTAGGTTAAGAGTAAGGAGAAATTGTTTTTAAACGCATAAATGGGTTTCAGTTTCCGTATAGCCAAGGCTTCAATAAATCTTAGTACACGTCCTTGAACGCTTTTGTACAACACTACAAATGCTGACTTGATGTCAACTTTATGACCAGTTTTAATCAAATGTTTCGCAATGGGAGATGAGTCCTGTCTATCCTGTGATCGTATTTGACCATTGGAATTCATTTGTTTCTGCAGCCATCTTGGTATGTTATCAGTATAGGGGTTGTGGAGATTATTAAGTTTTTGATTGAAATCATGAACCGATTGATGTTAGACCACCGTTGGAAACCTGGAAGCACTGAATGGCCATTTCATCCTATTGTGATACTCTTCAGTAGTGCGCATCCACGATCCCGCTCGCAGGATTCGAACCCAGGGCCTTCAGTTTTGCGCACAAACGCTTAACCTACTGGACCACTGAGCCGGCATCCAATGGTATTAGTGTCTAATATCAACCAATCCCCGAAATCGCGCGACTATCTTCCATTGTACTGAAGAGTCCCATACTAGAACGAAACGGCCGTCCAGTGCTTCCATGTTTTCCGTGGTGGTCTAGCTTTATTTGACTCATGAACTCAACTATTAAATTAAGCATTATAATGAATTGCTCCAAACAACTCAAGATGTTAATAATGTAACTATTGTTCACAATTTTAAATATCGCTCAATTAATTGAATGACGGTTGCATAATAGTAATTAGATGTGTAATATACCTAGAAAACAAGAAACAAATACAAACATTAGCATTTATGAAAGAGAAAGTAAGTTTCAGATTTAAATGATTAGAAATATTTCAAAAGAATAATATTTTCAGTTTATATATGTGGTGCATATGAAGTTAGCATTGATTTCGGGAGTTTATTGCATATATTTTTAAATACTTTGGTTTCAGTTTGCCAACCACCTAGCATTCTTTGTTCTTCGGGTGAGTGTATTACTCCTGAAATGCGATGTGACGGTACACAACATTGTCGAGACGGCTCAGATGAAATTGGTTGCCGTAAGTTCAGAAATATGTTTTTCTATAGAAGAGTGTGTTATTAAACAAGTAATGGAATTTTGCTGTATGGAAATTAAATAAAAAGATATATCCTATTATAGAGAAATTGAACGCAAGTTCATGCATCATGAAATATCTAGGATTTTGGAATAAAATTTACCAATTACCAAACCTAGTTTTCACATGCAGTAAAACTTACATAGAAAAAAGAATTAAAACGTTGGTTATCTTTTTCCGAAGCTTTGAGATACTCCTGATAATGAGTTATTGAATCTTACTGATATAAATGAGGTGTTTAGTCAAAATATATAACACACATAGAAATACTCACCCGTTAAATGTAAATCTACAGGAAGATGAACGTCCAGTTACACCTACATACACAATTCTCAATCTTCGTGTACAAATTACGAACGAAAACAGCATTATAACACCACCAAAAGAGGAAGAAAAATAAAATTTCATTAAACAAAAGAATACTCAAATATAAGACAGAGACAATATACGCAAAAATACAACAACAAGGAATATGTAAAGCAGTATAAAAATTTTAAAATATATCGAAGGAAAATGTGCAAGAAAATGCAGCAGTTAGTGATAACCGTCAAAATGCAATGGTTGTGTTGGTGAATGTGTAGTAACCGATCGACTTAAAGGCTGAGCACATGTATGTAACCACTGTTTGAAATAAGAGACTATTCTATAGGGAATTTGTAGCATTGATCCACCGATCTAATACTGAGAGAAGATTTATGCCTCAGTGATTGTTTTGCATGTGGTCATGTTGAATGATTTTGATGATGAAGTGTTCATGGTGAAAATTAACTGAAGTATGTTTATTTGCCAATGACATTATTTTGCCACAGCTCCTCGTTGTCGTCCTGGTCAATATCAGTGTTCTTCTGGTGAATGCATTGAACAACAAATGAGGTGTGATGGTCGACAAGATTGTCGGGACGCTTCAGATGAGACTGGTTGCCGTAAGTCAGATAACATCTGTATTTCCCATTTTAGCTAGGTGACCATTGAGAAATGTGAGAAATGTGAGAAATGTTAACAGTGACGAAAAACAGTTAGCTGTTTGATGTATTCTAACTGTTCTGACTTCTCACTAATTTTGACCTTATCACTGGTGGAAAGGAGTTATAATAATATGTTTTAGGCGATTTCGGCTCACTTATTGCATGTTGATGGAGGGAAATAGAATAGCAATGATTCGCATCATTTCAGTTCTGTTAACTTCAGTTATCTGCTGTTAGTTGATCAGCTATTATATTATTGCCCTCTAGAGAAGTACCTAACCAGTGCTTTCGGTAGACCTCTTATTACGAGTCATGTCCACATTTCGGAAAACAGATTAGTTTTAACGAGTGTACACGACTCCTTACTATTCCTTAGTTTGTTTGCAGTTCGTGTTCACTTGAACTGCTTACAGGAGACGACAATTTTAGTAATTGGTCTTCTGATTTATTCTACTGCTTAACTAGCATTGTGGGTGGAGTGTGGGTGTATGGCGTACGGTTGGAAAGTTGTTATATCCCAATTAGCAACCGAATGACACTGCGACGTCTCAACTCGTTGAGACGTTGAAATCACACTCTTCAGACCACACAGCACTGAGAAGATTATTCGTTCATTGTGGGATGGTTGAGTTGTCATCGGCTCCCTCGGTCAGTATGAAAATCGTCCAGTCAATGATGAACAGGTCCACCTGATCTTGCAAATGTTCATATGTCTCTGTGTGTATCTGTAGGTAGCTGTATAGTCGAGATTGTGGACGAAACTTATTCTCAGAGCTGGAGTGATCTCACTCAACGCTCACAATTCACTAATCACTGGATATCGGAATGACGGGATTCTTCAATTAACGGCAACAAGAAAAGATGTTCTCTAGAATACGCTCGTCATGTGACATTGCTCAGGTGTCGTTGATGACGTCGATAAGGACAATGGTGGCGCGGGCATTGACATCGTAGAAGAGTAAGTAGAATAAGAAAAGACAGTGATGGTCAGGACGACAATCCTGATGATGATAGAGACAGAGATATGCAGAATGGTGACGATAACGACGATTGTGTTTTCTAGAGAAATCCCACCCGTCAAATTGTCATTTATTTCCAGAACTGTGTGATATTATTGTGTTCAGAACTAAATCACATGGTAGAATATGTGCGAGAAAATGCAGCAGTTAGTGATAACCGTCAAAATGCAATGGTTGTGTTGGTGAATGTGTAGTAACCGATCGACTTAAAGGCTGAGCACATGTATGTAACCACTGTTTGAAATAAGAGACTATTCTATAGGGAATTTGTAGCATTGATCCACCGATCTAATACTGAGAGAAGATTTATGCCTCAGTGATTGTTTTGCATGTGGTCATGTTGAATGATTTTGATGATGAAGTGTTCATGGTGAAAATTAACTGAAGTATGTTTATTTGCCAATGACATTATTTTGCCACAGCTCCTCGTTGTCGTCCTGGTCAATATCAGTGTTCTTCTGGTGAATGCATTGAACAACAAATGAGGTGTGATGGTCGACAAGATTGTCGGGACGCTTCAGATGAGACTGGTTGCCGTAAGTCAGATATCATCTGTATTTCCCATTTTAGCTAGGTGACCATTGAGAAATGTGAGAAATGTGAGAAATGTTAACAGTGACGAAAAACAGTTAGCTGTTTGATGTATTCTAACTGTTCTGACTTCTCACTAATTTTGACCTTATCACTGGTGGAAAGGAGTTATAATAATATGTTTTAGGCGATTTCGGCTCACTTATTGCATGTTGATGGAGGGAAATAGAATAGCAATGATTCGCATCATTTCAGTTCTGTTAACTTCAGTTATCTGCTGTTAGTTGATCAGCTATTATATTATTGCCCTCTAGAGAAGTACCTAACCAGTGCTTTCGGTAGACCTCTTATTACGAGTCATGTCCACATTTCGGAAAACAGATTAGTTTTAACGAGTGTACACGACTCCTTACTATTCCTTAGTTTGTTTGCAGTTCGTGTTCACTTGAACTGTTTACAGGAGACGACAATTTTAGTAATTGGTCTTCTGATTTATTCTACTGCTTAACTAGCATTGTGGGTGGAGTGTGGGTGTATGGCGTACGGTTGGAAAGTTGTTATATCCCAATTAGCAACCGAATGACACTGCGACGTCTCAACTCGTTGAGACGTTGAAATCACACTCTTCAGACCACACAGCACTGAGAAGATTATTCGTTCATTGTGGGATGGTTGAGTTGTCATCGGCTCCCTCGGTCAGTATGAAAATCGTCCAGTCAATGATGAACAGGTCCACCTGATCTTGCAAATGTTCATATGTCTCTGTGTGTATCTGTAGGTAGCAGTATAGTCGAGATTGTGGACGAAACTTATTCTCAGAGCTGGAATGATCTCACTCAACGCTCACAATTCACTAATCACTGGATATCGGAATGACGGGATTCTTCAATTAACGGCAACAAGAAAAGATGTTCTCTAGAATACGCTCGTCATGTGACATTGCTCAGGTGTCGTTGATGACGTCGATAAGGACAATGGTGGCGCGGGCATTGACATCGTAGAAGAGTAAGTAGAATAAGAAAAGACAGTGATGGTCAGGACGACAATCCTGATGATGATAGAGACAGAGATATGCAGAATGGTGACGATAACGACGATTGTGTTTTCTAGAGAAATCCCACCCGTCAAATTGTCATTTATTTCCAGAACTGTGTGATATTATTGTGTTCAGAACTAAATCACATGGTAGAATATGTGCGAGAAAATGCAGCAGTTAGTGATAACCGTCAAAATGCAATGGTTGTGTTGGTGAATGTGTAGTAACCGATCGACTTAAAGGCTGAGCACATGTATGTAACCACTGTTTGAAATAAGAGACTATTCTATAGGGAATTTGTAGCATTGATCCACCGATCTAATACTGAGAGAAGATTTATGCCTCAGTGATTGTTTTGCATGTGGTCATGTTGAATGATTTTGATGATGAAGTGTTCATGGTGAAAATTAACTGAAGTATGTTTATTTGCCAATGACATTATTTTGCCACAGCTCCTCGTTGTCGTCCTGGTCAATATCAGTGTTCTTCTGGTGAATGCATTGAACAACAAATGAGGTGTGATGGTCGACAAGATTGTCGGGACGCTTCAGATGAGACTGGTTGCCGTAAGTCAGATATCATCTGTATTTCCCATTTTAGCTAGGTGACCATTGAGAAATGTGAGAAATGTGAGAAATGTTAACAGTGACGAAAAACAGTTAGCTGTTTGATGTATTCTAACTGTTCTGACTTCTCACTAATTTTGACCTTATCACTGGTGGAAAGGAGTTATAATAATATGTTTTAGGCGATTTCGGCTCACTTATTGCATGTTGATGGAGGGAAATAGAATAGCAATGATTCGCATCATTTCAGTTCTGTTAACTTCAGTTATCTGCTGTTAGTTGATCAGCTATTATATTATTGCCCTCTAGAGAAGTACCTAACCAGTGCTTTCGGTAGACCTCTTATTACGAGTCATGTCCACATTTCGGAAAACAGATTAGTTTTAACGAGTGTACACGACTCCTTACTATTCCTTAGTTTGTTTGCAGTTCGTGTTCACTTGAACTGTTTACAAGAGACGACAATTTTAGTAGTTGGTCTTCTGATTTATTCTACTGCTTAACTAGCATTGTGGGTGGAGTGTGGGTGTATGGCGTACGGTTGGAAAGTTGTTATATCCCAATTAGCAACCGAATGACACTGCGACGTCTCAACTCGTTGAGACGTTGAAATCACACTCTTCAGACCACACAGCACTGAGAAGATTATTCGTTCATTGTGGGATGGTTGAGTTGTCATCGGCTCCCTCGGTCAGTATGAAAATCGTCCAGTCAATGATGAACAGGTCCACCTGATCTTGCAAATGTTCATATGTCTCTGTGTGTATCTGTAGGTAGCAGTATAGTCGAGATTGTGGACGAAACTTATTCTCAGAGCTGGAGTGATCTCACTCAACGCTCACAATTCACTAATCACTGGATATCGGAATGACGGGATTCTTCAATTAACGGCAACAAGAAAAGATGTTCTCTAGAATACGCTCGTCATGTGACATTGCTCAGGTGTCGTTGATGACGTCGATAAGGACAATGGTGGCGCGGGCATTGACATCGTAGAAGAGTAAGTAGAATAAGAAAAGACAGTGATGGTCAGGACGACAATCCTGATGATGATAGAGACAGAGATATGCAGAATGGTGACGATAACGACGATTGTGTTTTCTAGAGAAATCCCACCCGTCAAATTGTCATTTATTTCCAGAACTGTGTGATATTATTGTGTTCAGAACTAAATCACATGGTAGAATATGTGCGAGAAAATGCAGCAGTTAGTGATAACCGTCAAAATGCAATGGTTGTGTTGGTGAATGTGTAGTAACCGATCGACTTAAAGGCTGAGCACATGTATGTAACCACTGTTTGAAATAAGAGACTATTCTATAGGGAATTTGTAGCATTGATCCACCGATCTAATACTGAGAGAAGATTTATGCCTCAGTGATTGTTTTGCATGTGGTCATGTTGAATGATTTTGATGATGAAGTGTTCATGGTGAAAATTAACTGAAGTATGTTTATTTGCCAATGACATTATTTTGCCACAGCTCCTCGTTGTCGTCCTGGTCAATATCAGTGTTCTTCTGGTGAATGCATTGAACAACAAATGAGGTGTGATGGTCGACAAGATTGTCGGGACGCTTCAGATGAGACTGGTTGCCGTAAGTCAAATATCATATCTGTTTCCTTTTTCGGTTATTTTTCATTTGGATTTGCGTAAATTTTTTACTTTATGATTAATTTTGATTTTCTTTTCTTTTGTTTTATTTTTTGCTGTTTCTCTTTTTATGTATACTTTTTATTATTCATGCTTTTGCCATATTTGTTACTCCTTACTTTTCTTTTCTTTCTTGTTTTTTGCTTTATGCTTATATTTTTTACTGTTTCTACATATTTTTCTTTATTTTTTTTTTCACCTTGTTATTCGTTTTTTTCTCTGCTGTCTTTTCTTGGACTGAGCAAACTCTATGATATTTTCTGTTTTCTTGTGGATGTCATAATTCATTTTCTGTAGGACAGTGTTTTTTACTCATAGTTTTATCTTATATCGTTATCTGTCTAATTTCTTGGTCGGTTCTCAACACTATTATTTCGTTTTCTACATATACCAGAAGCTATAATAATTCGTTTTTGCAGCTCCAGTCTATACGTTCTGAATAGTAACATGTTTTTTAAACGTAATAGTTTTCTATGGATATAAAATTTATCTAAAAATCCCTTACCTCATCAATCAAAAGCGTTGTTTTAGTCGGTTTATTAAATACCCAGTTATCGGAACCATAAAAGTAGTGAATTTGGTTCGACACTATCGGTTCTAGCCAACCTTGTCGTCAGCTATGTATATTTCAAATAGTGAAGCTTATATGGCTTTCAGTGAGGTGTTTGTGGGTTTATGATTTTTGGCGGAAGCAGAACTCGTAATATAACTGAGAGCATATGAGAAAGTGACTGGATGAAATTTCATAATACGGGACAGTCATCGAAAGCCAAATGATTTTTACATGAAATGTGTATGCGAAGGGAAGTGTCATCTTTAGCGTCCGACAACTTTTCAGGAAACTCGAAGTTTTGTTTCGAGGTAGGTTCTTTATCTATAGGTTTAGAAAGCCTCCTAGTAGTAGTTGTGAACCTGATGTATTTGTGTACGAAAATTACAGGAAGTAAATAAGCGCCCAAGATGTATTCGACATGCGAAAACGTTTATTTGGACGATCTGAACTCTGAGGTCAGTCTAACCTTGATTATTATCTGTACTAGATAGGTGATTTTGAGACGTAGACTGTAGATCAATGAGTGGAAGAAATCAACAGCAGAAGTGACGCTTTGAAAAATGTAGATCTGGATGCTACAATATCTACTGATAACGGTAAAGACAGAGGTGAAGCAAATTTGAATGTGCAATTGAATAGTAAATTCCCTGTGCTTATTGAAGTATCTGATGATGAGAATGTTGGCATTATTTGTTCTAACCATCAAGTGCGGAAAAAGGTTTTTATGGATGGGTCAGATGTAGATGTTCGAGATGAAGCACACCCCGTTATCTTGTCTGTTCTGTAAGAGCTGCTGAGGGTAACCTTCCATATATGGAATGTTACGATTATGATATGTGGTTATTGGTTCTACAGATGGATGCCATATTGAATAATACTCTTCATGTTATTTTATTTTGCATTTGATTCTAACTGGAATAGTTTTGTGCAATATTTTATCGTTTACCTTCATTATTTCTCTTTTTAGGAGAACGAGTAAATATTCGTGTAGTGCCAGATATCATTCATACACAGCCGTACGAAAAATGGAAGTTTGAATGCTCTGTGATAGGTGCAGATATAGAACCAATAGTCAAGTTCCAAGATGGTAGACTTGTCGAATCAGATCCTAACTTTCGAGTTACTCGCATTGATCCCAACACTGTCAGCGTTGAAGCGATTCATGGCTTAACGGAAAAAAAGGAGCGTCTTAGCTTCATGTAAGGAGATTCGCCATGAATTCTCTCATTTATGTATTTTTTGATTAAATTAATATACTTTGCAAGCTGAATACAGACTTAATCCTCAAGTTCCTATCTTAAGAAACAAGTTTTCCTATGACTTAGTTGAAGGTTTTGGAAACTTTTGATGGTATTTTCCATGATGATAATTTTCCTGCTGTACAATCTTTCTTAGTCTATGTACTAGAATGTTTAATCGAATGTTATTTATTATCCATCTACTTTTTTAAACTTGTTTGATACTTACTAGGAACCTATTAGAACAAATAAGGACTCATGAGTCTATGTATTGAAATTGCTGACGATTATTAGGATGATCAGCAATAAATCCTGTTTTTACTGATGCTTTCCTTATCCTTATAGACGACTTAATAATGATATTCTTAATTATTTATTGTCATTACATTTACGTAAGACAAAAAACTAATTTTAAAAATGAAATCATCATGCCAGTTTTATTATATAAATTCCAAGGTTACTTGTTAAATAAACTATCATGATCTCATATATTGAAATTACTACAATCTCCACAAAACCCCTTCTGATACTAATCAAAATACGCTCACTAGTGACTGGCTTCAAGATGTATGTCCTAGATTTCTAGTGAGAAGCAGTGACCAGTGGAGTTCAACCAGGTCAGTTGTGGGATAGGACTTCACTGATAACAATGGTGTATGTGTCGCTCGATCTCGTGGATTAGTTAAAGCTAGACATTAACACCGCTGGATGCCGGCCCAGTGGTCTACTGGTTAGGCGCTTGCGCGCGAGACCACTAGGTCCTGGGTTCGAATCACGCGAAGCGGGATCGTGGATGCGCACTGCTGAGGAGTCCCAACAGCAGGGCGAAACAGACATGCAGTGCTTCCAGGTTTTCCATGGTGACCTAGCTTCAATCGACTCATGATCTCAACCATTGAAATTACTATAGTCTCCACAAAACCCCTTCTGATACGAATAAACTATCATTCAAACAAATGTTAATACCATTTCTTAATTTTATGGTATAATATACTTGATTAACGAAATTAAGACTTCTTAAAATTTTGATGCGTATATGAGAAATGTGTACCTTTTTTGGAAACCTAACTTAATGGCCTAGTTATCCTTAAAACGATCCATTTACAATATGACGAGTACATTCAATTATTAAAAATGTCTATAAATCAGAAAATAGTATAAGATTGTTTAATAGTGAGATTATAAATAATGAACGATGGTAAATTTATCACCATCTTTTTTAATGGCAAGTTAATTCTACTTAAATCAATATGGTTTCAAAATAAAGTCCACATAATAAGGACCACTTAGGTTTATTTTAAAAAAAACAGTGAAATACAATCATAAATAAAAAGATTAGTTACGATAAAGAAACCTCATCTAACTGTTGAGTTACATTCGTCTTTATCATAAATCAATATTGTTAGATACTGTACAGTACTCATAAAATTATTGAATGTAACTCAAACTACTTGGTATTGGATAAACAGTACTTTATACCATATAAATAAACAGATGCGATTCAGAAATGAAAACTAATTTTAACACATTGTATATAATGATACAGTGTATTGTTTAATTTATTTGAAGAGTAAATGTAAATTACCGAAAAATTCAGCAATTTCATAAAATTTGATTAAATGATTCTTTTGCATATATCTATTTCACTATCAATAATAAATATGTTAAATGCCAACGAAGCCTCTCTAATTATAAAAAAAATAGTACAATCAATTTTGTAGTGAACAGAACACGGGTGGGGACAATCGAATCGTCTCACATTTCATTGTTCATGCGTTTTCTTACAAATTGCATTGTGTTCCCGCTCTTCCTTTCTTGATCTTCCCCCATCTTCTGCTGCCAGACATTACATTTTTAACTGGCGTCATATACTACTTACATCAATATAAGTAGCACGCACCACAGTTTGACTATCAAGCTTAGTTTCATTCATAGTTTAAAAGTTATAAACCAGATCGAAATGTTAAACTTCTTTGATCATTGTTTTAAAATCGAAAAATCTTTACATATTTTATTTCATTTTAATTTGATGGTGAATAATATCTTACCTGGAAATCAATTGCTAGATATAAAGTAGTATTACTAATGTAATTCTTGCTAATTATTTCACAGATGTACATTCCCTGGTGGACCAGAAGAGGAGATAGATGTTTATGTTCGACGACGATGTCCTCATGGTGAATTCATGTGTAAAGATGGAACATGTCGTCCAGAAAGTGATTTTTGTAACGGTCGAGTTGATTGTCCTGATGGTTCAGATGAACGACCTCCATATTGTAGTAAGTTTAAATAAACTATTAAATACTTTATTATTGTCTTAATATTTCAAATTGTTTCATTCTTTACAAAAAGTAACTAATGAGCTCTATCTCAAATCTACCAAAACTCAATTAATTTTTTTATATATTGAGATCTTACTAGCTAAAAATTACAAATGCTTATTGTAAGTCATATTCTGCTGTTGAAATTGTTTAGTTGCTTATTAATCATTTGTTTATATTGAAAAAGATACAAAGCTATAATTCATATCTGGTTGATCTTTGTTTTTATATAAATTTATTCATAACTAAATCAGAAATGATATATAGTTGTCGTTTGTGTAAGTGTATAATGTTTCCTGTAGATAATATGTGAAATTTATTATTACATTCTAAGCACTCTAGTTTAGTCAAATTGATATCATTAATTTTGATGGAGTTTTGTTCTCTGAGGTGGATGGTTTGGTCACGGAGCTTTCATCGTTCTTCTGAACGACATCATCAGCACAAACTACAGATAAAAGTGAAGTGTTTAAATTTCTCCATATGCGTTTCACAGCTTGTTCTGTACACCTCGACGTTGATTGGTTCTTATTGACCTTAAATTTGTCATTGTTTACTTCAAAATCATCCACCTAAGCTACAAATCTTCACCATCTTGATATTATTATTATTATTTTCCACATTCAGTAGTTACTATGCTTTATGAAGTATTTACTATGTTTACATGAATAGAGGGTTATTTCATAAATTAGAGAAGTGATATAAAATACTTCAGTTTCTGATCAAACAAGCAGAACTTCTAATTATAATTTATACTGGCTAATTTTTAACACATATGGTTGTTGTAATGAAAGTTTACAACTAATCTTCTATTTATGCTCTGAGATATCTATCAATTTAGCTATTTCATATCGTGATATTTGCTACTGATCTTAACAGATATAAGTAGTATGTATCGTCACTCAAAAGTGAAATGCCCAGAGGCATAAGGTTAAGATTAAAGTAAAGAGAATGAGAATGAAGAATGATTGGTGTGGAATCGAAAGAAAACTGAAGTTTGAGACGATTGATTAACATTTTTCAAATGAAATACTTACTGTATGGTTCTCAGATTTTACTAAAATATTCTGTAATTTTGCATTCAAGTACATTCGATTATCCTCAATTGTGTTTTCGTTCACTAAAATATTACTAGTCAATACTACTAGTAGTCTAGATTATTAATAACTTAAATATTGATAATTTTTTCGATAATTAATACAGTGAAATTTGGAAAACATAAAGAGATGAACTCTTTCTCATCACCTTATTACTGTGCTGTTTGTTTTAAATATGAGACCGGTCTATTATGTTTATTTAAAAACACGTTTTATGTTTAAGTAATTTGTTATATCCCTATGAGAATGATGAATGGTAACTGTTGGAATCTATTTCTGGACTAATACAATACGTATATTTTTATTGTATAATTGTTAAATAACTAAACCATTCATATTCGTGTTTCTCTTATCATAAGCTTTATTTTGAACTATGAACCATTGTTATACGATTTATCATTCTTGAGTTACACTCAGTCTGTCTCCTACAATCACAGCCACATTTGGCTAAATATTGTACAAATGTTATTTCTTATTTTATAATACGATGTGGTCTGTTTGGTTAGTATATAAACCCAGTATGTTTGAAACATATGATTCATATCGGAGAGGTTGAGATTGGTGTTCTGAACTTAATAGGCAGGGCTAGGTCGGAAGCAGGACCGATAAGTACTGTAGACTTCCCGTACAGGTTTTATGCGTCATTGGTCCGGTCGATAATTCACTGTTCTCTAATTGGCGTTATCATTACGTCATACATTAATAGGACACAAGGCACAAGTTATAACATAATTCAATTCACCTAATTATATCAAGTAATTATGTTGCCAAGAAAAGAACTGTACTATAAATTTTTAAAAAAAATTACAGTAAAGTCATCGAGAATATTCTTTCAATGTTTTATTATTGTACATTTATATTTACCTCTATTAAACTACACAATATACCTTGTGAATATATTTTTTTTCCAAATAAAAATAATTAACATCTTTATTTTATAAAATAGGGGAAATTGTACAGGTGGAAGTTAAACCAAGCATTATTCATGTTCAACCGTATAAACGTTTTGAATTTGAATGTATTTCTTATGTTCCTGGGATAAAACCAGAAGCTCGATTACCTAGTGGTATACTTGTAAGTCAAGATCCACGTTTTAATGTAATATACCTTTCACCAAATCATCTTCAAGTAAATGCAATATATGGTTTAACAGATAGAGATCATCCATTCCAGATTTAGTAAGTTCTAAACTGTAAACTTATTTGAATAACTATATATAACATGAATGGTTATTAATAATTATTTCAAATACAAGTGTAATCAACCGCCATCACTTGAGAATTCATTGAATAATGTGTTAGGTATAAAATCTTATCCTATCCTCATTTGGATATTTTTTATCAGTCACCTATTCCCAAATAAATTCTAAATTCTTTACTTCATTTCAGTGGTTAAAGTTTATATTGTAGTCAAGTTAAATTAGATACAAATAATCACTGTTAATCTATTGTATTCTCAGACTATTCATGTTTATCTTGCATACAGTTAACGAAACAAATTTTGTTTTGATTGTAGTTGTATATTTCCTGGATTAGAAAATAGAACTACTGTAATAGAAATTGAAAGACCTTGTCCAAGTGGACAGTTTCAATGTATGGATGGACGATGTTTACCATCTAATGTATTTTGTGATGGCAAATCGGATTGTTCAGATAGTTCAGATGAAAATGAACGATACTGTGGTAAACAAGTTCTTAGATTGTTATTTTTTATTATTTTTTAATCCTATTTTTACTTTAATAGTCATATTTCATAACAAAAGTTTGATAGATCTATCGCAAACCATGAATTAATCTTTTTGAATAGAATTTTACGACACTTTATGTTTTCACTGTTTGAGTTTTTTAACTTCGGTGAGTTGAAGTTATGAAAACCGAATACACAACAATGAGCAAGAATTAAGCAGACAGTGACAAGGATTGGCAAATTTTTTAAAGGTAACAAAAACAAAATCCATTTATAACCAAAGATGGATAGTGGCTAGCAGTGGAATCTAAGACTCGCGTTTCGTCCTATTTGGGACTCGTCAGCTGGATGTACCTGCATCTCAGCGTTGATGTTTACTCTGGGATTCGAGTCCAGCATCTTTGCCTATAATGCTTGTTAATTAATGCAATATCTAGGCAATACGCACAGTATGCACATATGCCAATAACAGACTGATCACTTTCAGTCCTAAACATCAGTGGGAAGATTCAAGTAAAACAATACCAAGTGAATCAAAATCCATTTAGTTTGAACATAAATCCACTTAGAGTAGGCACTTCATAAAATCAAAATATTGAAGAAATTATTCTAAATTATATAACTTACTACTTTTGACGAATATCTTATTATTAGAAACATTTATTTTCAAAAATATCAGAATCCAAGTACGATCAAACATGTTTTCCCGCATGAAATCAACCTTCTCAATACTTCAGGATTTTGGCTGAAATATCGAATATTAAACAGCTGATACAATGATATAACTCAACCCTCGTCCAGTACCGTTTACGATTGTCTTCATATTCAGCTCAATGGTTCCTCATAATTACAACACAAGAAAATCCATTTTCAGTTTATTCTGTTTTCGACTGAAAAACCGTAAAGGGAAAATGAATTGTATTATTTAACTTTTACCAAAATGTTTAAACTTTTGAAAATGGTCAATCTTTCCATTCATTTATAATAAATCGATGTACAGTGTGCACCATACTACTTGTGTCGATGACTTAATTATGTCCTCCACTAGGGCAGCTCTTAAACTTTTCTGACAAGATGATATTCAAACAATAACATTTTATAGCCATCACTTGTAGGAACATGAGAATAGTAGAGCAAGAACGTACAATCTGATACTTTCATCGTAAAATCATTTAAAGACTTAACATTCTCAGATAGGAGGACATTTTTCTCCAATATCCAACCCCACGTTGAGAACGCGAATTAATTCATTACACCATTGCTATAAATGAATGATATATAAATTCATTTGAAGATAATTCATATTAAGAGATGACATGATTTGAAGACGCATTAGAAACTACCTAGTTCGTTCAGTTACAGAAATTCTCGTGAGTGAGAACTCACATTCCTACACGAGATATCACCCAAGACCCCCAGTTCTGATGGCTAACATTAGCGCCCTTAGACCAACTAGTTGAGATTCGGATGTCTGATTGTTTCAATTTTTGTCAGTTTGTAGTTTAGAGGAAATTACATCAAATGGCATCAGTGGATTATCATTTTTCACAGTTTGAGATGAAAATTACATTTAGGTTGATAGGAATCTCCACAAAATTCCTATTAATAGACTTCATACTAACTAGCTGCATTAAAGTTTAGTGAAACCAAAAATTGATGCCTTGAAAAAACTATATTGTTGATGCTAAAGCCAAATACAGTCTATGTTCCGCAATGTCTTCACCTATAGTCTTGCCTACGATAAAACTATCAAATCAAATCTTAAAGCATCTGGAAAACAGTTGTCATATTTCTTCCTACAGATTTCGTATCACTTCTTTTATTTTAGCTGTAAACATCAGAGTGACACCAGGTTCGATTCGTGTAGTCCCATATCAACGTTTTCAATTCGAATGTTCAACGTCAATCCCAGGCGTATCTCCTCAAGTAACGTTTGATGAGCGTTCAGTAGAAAGAGATAATCGTTTTGTTGTTACTCGTCCAAGTCTTCAAACTATAGTAGTGACAGCGCCAACTGGTTTATCAGAAATTGGTGCACACAGATTTAAGTAAGAATTAAATCTAATCCATTAATTATAATTTTCTAGTAGAAAACACCATTCGTTTTAAAAGGTTTATAGCGTATATTAAGCATAGAATTATGAATTTTTCATACAGCAGTAAATTCTCACCTATCAGTGGAGTTTATAGTTTGCTTAATCTACACACTAGCCTCTGCATCAGTAGGCCTCAACATACACCGAGGAAAAAGCGAGATCCTCGAATACAACACGGAGAACATCAACCTAATCACACTTGATGGAGAAACTCTGGAAAATTCGCAATCCTTCACGTACCTGGGAAGCATCATCGATGAACAAGAAGGATCGAATGTAGACGTAAAGGCGAGGATTGGCAAAGTAAGGGCCGCATTCCTACAATCCAAGAACATATAGAACTCAAAACAACTCTCAATCAATATCAAGGTCACAATCTTCAATAGGAATGTCAACACAGTTCTACTATACGGAGCTGAAACTTGGAGAACTATGACGACCATGATCAAGAAGGTACAAGTATTTACAAATAGTTGTTTACGCAAGATACTCAATATTCATTGGCTGGATACCATCAGCAACAGCCTACTGTGGAGGAGAACAAACCAGTTTCCAAATAAAGAAGAAATTAAAAAACGATATTGGAAGTAGATAGGACATACATTTCGGAAATCACCAAACTGCATCACGAGACAAGTGATAACTTTTAATCCTGAAGGGAAGCGGGAAAGTGGAAGGTCAAAGGGCACTCTGCCTTGAGAATTGGAAGCAGACATGAGAAGGATGAATAGCAACTTGAAAGGACTGCTAAGGACAGAGTTAGATGGAGAGTGCTTGTGAGCGGCTTATACTCCTCCACGAGGAGTAACAGACGTAAGTAATTAAGTAATCCATACACTATTAATAATTATTCAAAATGCGTTAATTCGGTCAAGATGGAGAATTTTTCAGTTGTCTACTAAGATTATATAGATTTACTTGAAAAGAAAGATAGAACTGAACTAATCTCATTATCAAAGATGAGATGTTTTGAAAAAAATTAATGATGTACATACAGAAGTCATTGTTGTAGTGTAGTTATAAAGTCAATCAAGTAGTCTAAACCAGTTGAATTTAGTATAGTGAATGTAAATGATACAAAATATTTCATCAAAAGAATATTGTTCTATTTATAAGTTATAATACCTAGAATAGAGTCGTTCATAATTAGAAGTATTTAATGTTAAGTGATAAATTATTGTGAGTATTATAAACTCATCATTTGAAACAAGAATTAATAAACAATGAATGGTGTTTACATCCATGTCGTACTGCGAAAATGCTGGTTAAAAACTTTACAGACAGAGCCTTCGTCTGTTCTATATTTGGCATGAAAAATAGATTATCAGTAAATATTATTCTAACTTACAATAAATAAACGTGTTACATTTCCATTTAGTTTAATGGAAACAATAACCGATATATCCAAATAAAGCTTCATTAAGATCCAACATTACATTTAGACGTTTATGAGAATGATCATCAATCAACAGTATAGAAACAATATTTTTTTCGACCGTAATATGTTAATTATAAGCAGAAACTATGGAAATTATTGATTTGATGGGAATATAATTTAAATGAGTTGTATCGTTTATATTACTGTTTACTAATGATCAATAACCAACCAAATCTTTTAGAAGTCGAATTCACGAGCCAATCTAAGCTAGACCACCATTTAAAACCTAGAAGCATTGAACCGGAGTCTTGTCCTAGTATGGGACTCCTCAAAAGTGTCCATCAACAATCTCACACTCCGTAATCGAATACAGCAATTTCGGTGTCGCGCTATAGATCACTCAGTCAGTATCCAATGTTACTAATGTTTGACTTTAATCACCCCATGATCTTGCATAACCCTTCATTTTTTGTCTGAGGTGGATAACTCTTTCACACTTGACACGGGCTGGACTCCACTGGTCATGGTTCCTCAATAAAACTCCAAGAGTTACATCTTGAACCTAGTTACTAGCGAGCACACGATTATGATCGTGGACGTCCTCTGCTGAATTCCATACTAGGACGAAACGGCCATGTAGTGCTTCCAGGTTTTCAATTATGGTCTAGTTTAGATTGACTCGTGAATTCAACTAGTAAAGTACTCCAATCTCCACAAATCCTCTTAATGATAACTGATTTTTTGCCAAATTTTAGGTTAAGCAAACTAAATCAGCCTATTTAATATGACCAATATAAATGTAGATTAAGGAAATGTTTCTTTACAGGAAGAATGATCGTTAACGGTAACTGACTCGACTAAGTGAATATTCGAATATTACTTCTATGAAAATAGAAAATGTCAATCTAAAGTCAATTATTTTAGTGTTGAAACATTAATTGATCATTTAAACTTAATGGCTAGTGAGAATTTCAACATTTATAGTTATAAGCAAATTAAAATGAAATTTTACCTATTATTTAATTTTCTTAGATGTATTGTATCAGTAAATATTGTTAAAGAAGTTGATGTAGAAATCATAAGTGAATGTCCACCTGGGCAATTAAAATGTAGATCTGGTGAATGCTTGCCAAGAGCAATATTTTGTGATGGGAAGTATGATTGCCCAGATAGATCAGATGAAGATCCAAGATCATGTGGTAAGATTCTCTGTTTACTGAAATAATGATATTTCATCTTACTTTCCAATCATTAATATTCGTTCAAGCGATAGATTTGGTCGATTCTAATCACTAAAGTATGAGGTTTATCTAAACGATAGTAATAATATCTTTTTTTGCAAGTTTTCTTTTTGTATGTTTATCTGAAGGACTTTGATGGAGTTTTGTTCTCTGAGGTGGATGGTTTGGTCGTGGAGCTTTCATCCTTCTTCTGAACGACATCATCAGAACAAACTTCAGATAGAAGTAAAGTGTTCGAATTTCTTCATATACGTTTCACAGCTTATTCTGTACACCTCGACGTTGATTGGTCCTTATTGACCTTAAATTTGTCATTGTTTACTCCTTCGTTTTGGTTGTGTCTTCCAGTGGTTTGATTTTTGTTCCCATATTTGTGCATAATTTTCCTGATTGGTTGATAAATTGGATCGATTACAATGTGCTTGTTGATTTTTGATTGACCTGAGTGCCAGGCTTCTGAAAATTCTCTAGTGTTTTTGGAATTTCCTCTGTCCAAGATTTCCACATTTTTCCAATCGAACGAGTGTCCGCAGTTGTCCACGTTTATTGATATAAGTGAGGAAGTATAATATGATGGTTTTAGTTTGAAAAATTAGCCACATATATTCAACATGTGGTCTCCTGATAGGCTAAGACAATATGAAATGTAGCATCGAAACAAATTATTTCACGTAACACTTATGTTGAAAACTCTGGATTGTTATGATGGGATAATCATTCGGTAAAATACTAGTATGACTGACTAAACCGTAAAGATTATTTATTCGGGAATAGTACCGTTGAATTCTAACCAATTATTTTTCACCAGAAAAACCAGTTAACTGTTATTTATAAACAAAATATCAGATATCAAATACTTAGCGTGAATTAATAGTGAAAATGACTATCACAAAAAGAATTGAGAGAGACACCGTTTCATCTATAGTACAAAAGAGTAGTGATGAAGTAGAGTGGTTTAATGTATAATAATACCAAACAAATGTTTGAGAAATCCGAACAGTATAAAGAAAGAACAAATCGAGACTGCTAGTGATATTTTGTACTGGTAACACTGAAAACAATAAATCATATTATATTCAAACATCCTAGACCCTATTCCAGGTTATTTTTGACAGGACAATGGTAAGTTGCAGTAGCTAAAAAGCACGTTGATAAATCTGTCTAATTCAAAGCAGGCTCAATAAATTATTCTCATATTTCATCCGTCAAGCACATCCTAAACCACCTTATGTCAGAATCACTACATACCGTTTCAGTGATTAAGATTCCTACACGAAACACACTTTTGTAACCTGTGTACATAGCATTTTTTAAAATTTTCTAAATGATTCACTTATTCAATCTAGTATTATCCTTAGTGCTTCTGTATGACTTTCATCTTGTTTCAGACATAGATACTAGAGTACCCTAATAATGAATATTCTCTTTGCAATTGATAACTGAGTTAAAACATTTCAAAATTATTTTTCATGATTTACAAGAAATAGCTTAATTATGTGATAAATAAAGACTCTTCTTCCATATGAATAGAAATAATCATGTGTGCTTCACAAACTCTATTTTGATTAGATTAGAGTTTGAAAATATCAGACTTCTGAAGTAGTTGATAATTAACAATGTTGTTGAAATGAATAAAAATATTTAATATCAGTGTTTAAATGCTAAGCATTTTCTTTTTATTCTCATTTTCATTTTACTGACATCAGTTCCTACAATTATTATTACTCCAACAACAATTTTAACAAGACCACATGAATCTTTCCAATTTGAATGTAAATCAGTTATGCCAGGTGGTGAACCAAAAATTACACTTGAAGGTTATCCAGTTGAAAATGATCCCAGATTTACAATTGTACGTCCAAGCCGTGAACATGTTATTGTTCGAGCAGAAAGTGGTATTGCTGATCCTGGAAAATATTCTTTCACGTATGAAAACATAGTATACAATTAAAAATTCTTAACAATCACATTTATTATACAACGACAAAATTCCTATCCTAAAATATATTTTATTATTGTTTACCTGCATAAAGATAGAAATCAAGTACTAGTTATGAGATTTGATAATGCTAACTATTTCTCACTTTAAGGTGTACTTTGAAAGGAAACGTTACTGTTTAATTTTGAAAAACAAGCCCTTCTTTCAGTGTATCACATCAGATACAGTCTAATTTATAAATTCATAAGTTCTAGAGTTTAATAATTAAAAAGTGTACTTATGAAGATTTAAGTTTAAGATTTTACGGTCAAGTGAAAGTTTATAAAATAGGGTATATGCAATATCACAGATTGAAATCATGAGTCAATTGAATCTAGACCAACATAGAAAACCTGGAAGCAGTGGACGGCCGTCTTGTCCTAGTACGGGACTCCTCAGTAGTGCGCATCCACGACCCCACACCTCGCGAGATTCGAACCCAGGACCTATCAGTCTCGCGCCAAGCGCCTAACCAACTGTACCATTGAGCCGGCATCCAATGGTGTTAATGTCTAACTTCAACCAATCTACGAAGTTGCGCCACCGTATACCATTGTCTTCAGTGAGCTGATATCTCACGGGGTGCGGGATCGTGGGTGCGCACTACTCAGGAGTCCCGTACTAGGACGAAACGGCCGTCCACTGCTTCCAGGTTTTCCATGGTGGTCTAGCTTCAATTGACTCATAATTTCAACCTATGAAATTTCTAAAATCTCCACAAACCCCTTCTGGTATATGCAATATAGCCGTTCAAATCAAAATACACTGATCGAAATAAATAAATAAATAAATAAAATAGAGTGGACTACTGAGCTACCTTGTTAAAACATTTTGCTAAAACACAATTCTCCGAAATTCCTCTACATTATTACTTGTGTGATAAGTGATTATACTGTCTCTTATTTCGTCAGAATTTGAAGATTCACTAATTTGACACCATTTGTATTCAGTGATAACAGTTTCTTTTGTATTTATGTAAGTTCGAGTGAGTTACCTGAGACCTATCTTATATTTTAATAGAAATTCCATTTGTTGTGATATGAGGAGTGTTATGATTTTTTATTCCATCACATTAAGCATGTTATTCTTACCATGGTTTTCTCAACAAAAAAAATTCATGGTCTAGTAATTCCCATATAGTGTAATCTACCTAAGACACAGTGTGCATTTCAAATTATTATAAGAATTCAACAATAACTACTGTTCCATTAATCCAATACAACTTTGATTTATTATAAACATATGAAACGATATGTATCTCTCATCTTATTTCATATATTCATTAGATTAGGTGATTATTTTTATGCTGTATATTCTTGATTAACTTGGTGGTATCACTGATTCTTAAATAAACTAAAGTTCATGAAGTGAGATTTCAATTGGTCACTCATTAGTTGAAAACCAAAAGCTTCGACTGCTAAAAACTACTATTCTATATTCGTTGAAACATAGATATGAAGTCTTTTAATTCATTTAAATGAAATTTCTATTTCTTATCAAACAGACTGGTGAAATGATATTTATGGAATAACATTTCTGTTAGCACATAATTCCCGATGTTCATAACGTGATCTGCTTAACGTCAAGTGTTCTTAACGTGGAAAAGACTTAATCAACATGACTTTTATTCTGTAACACTAACAGATTGGTAGAGTTTCAGACAAATAAGCATTTTTTCAATGTATAACTGATGTAAAGTAAAAAAAATTATAAGTAGTGTCCATAACACTAAATTATCAGTTTAAAGAAAGTAATTCACTAAAATTACTTAGATTCCTACTTAGTTTTTCTTTAGAAATCAAACTTGTTTTATTAAGCTTTTGCACTTTTGATCTGCACACTTGATATCATGAAGCGATTAAATTTCAGAAATAATTCCACTTATATATATTATTTTAAATTCAGTTGTACCGTAGTAAGTGCAGCTAGTAAGACAATCGTGGTACAAGTTGAATCAGTATGTCCACCTGGTTATTCTAAGTGTAAAGATGGAATGTGTATCCTGGACAACCAGTTTTGTGATGGGATAATTCATTGTCGAGATGGCTCAGATGAAGACAAGTTACGGTGCCGTGAGTTGAACATATTTATACATTGATATTTAATTGTTAAATAAAATATTAGGAAAACTAATTGCTATGAATAATATCTTATCCACTAAACAAAAGTTTAGAATATATATATTATGTCACTATCCATTTTCACGAAGATGTTAAAGAACTCAAACGAGAGCTTAAACAAACATACAAAATATTGGTTATCCTGCGAGATACAATGTAATACGACTGAATGAATACGAAATAAGTTTATTGGAACTACAGATGAACACGTCAAGTAATATGTCATACTACTGAAAACCACACAAACATTTATTTATTCACAAATTTAAGTTGTAACAGTTCTTCTATTGGCTGAAAATAACTAAGTTATATGAATTAAAATGATTGTTCAATCAATCATATAAAACGTTATGTCTTTCAATGATTTTTCACTTGAATGTGGCATAAAACCTTACTTGCGCCTGTTACTCCCAGTGGACCATAGGCCGCCGCCCAACATTCTCCAACCCACTTTGTCCTGGGCTTTCTTTTCTAGTTCTATCCAATTGTTGTTCATTCTTCTCATGTCTGTTTCTATTTTTCGGCGTAATGGGTTCTTTGGTCTTCTTCTGATTTGGCCTTGAGGGTTCCATGTGAGGGCTTGCCTTGTGACGCAGTTGGGTGCTTTCCTCAATGTGTGTCCTATCCACTTCCAGCGCTTCTTCCTGATTTCTTCCTCCGCTGGGATCTGGTTTGTTCTCTCCTACAGTACGTTGTTGCTAATAGTGTCTGGCCAACAGATCTGAAGTATTTTGTGCAGACAACTGTTAATAAACACTTGGATCTTCTGGATGATGACTTTCGTAGTTCTCCAAGTTTCCGCCCCATACAGTAGAACCGTCTTGAGATTTGTACTGAAAATTCTGACTTTGGTGTTGGTTGACAGTTGTTTTGAGTTCCAGATGTTCTTCAACTGTAGATATGCTGCTCTTACTTCACCGATTCGCGCCTTCATATTTACATCAGATCCACCGTGTTCATCAATGATGCTGCCCAGATATGTAAAGGTTTTTACATCTTTCAAGTCTTCACCGTCAAGTGTGATTCGATTGATGCATGCTGTGTTGTATCAGAGAATCTTGCTTTTCTCTTTGTGTATGTCGAGACCTAATGCTGCTGAGGCTGCTGCTACACTGGTCGTCATCTCCTGCACTTGTTGTCGCGTTTGGGATAGAAGGGCCAGATCATCTGCGAAGTCTAGATCGTCCAACTGCATCCTAGATGTCTACTGTATCCCGTGCCCCCTTCAGATGTTGACGTCTTCATGATCCAGTCGATCACCAGAAGAAAGAGAAAGGGTGAGAGTAAGCAATCTTGTCTGACACTGGTCTTTACTTCGAACGAGTCTGTCAATTGTCCTCCATGCACGATTTTGCAGTTTAATCCATCGTAATGAAAATCTAAATTATTTCAGATTTTGTTATTCAATTCTAATGTGCAAAGGAGATATGTTTTCACTCATGAGAGTGCGTTTTTTTCATATCTTGTTAACGATAAACTATTTGAGTTAGACTGATGTCATAACATTTCCTCTTGTGTTTATTAAATTTAATTGGTGACACAAAAAATATCACAGCACTCAAAACCATTCGAAAATCTAAGCACATTTTGAAATCTCTACTCCCAGAGATTGAATAAATAAAAATCCACTTGTTTTTTAATAAATGTTCTGATTTGAATGTCACATAGAGTAGAAATTTCATTCATCACACAAAAACTTAAACTCACTGGATACTCATTAACACTGAGATACTATTTTATACCAATTAGCTAGTAATTACTTAATCTTTATTCGTTTCTGATAGTTGACGTATAACTGTTTGTAAGACGTCACGAAAATACAAGTTACGAATGAATATGGAAGTTATATAATTTTAGATAGGTTGTCTATAAGGTTTTATTAGTAGTAGATTTATCGTTCCATTATATTGTCCGTTGTTAACCTCATAATGACTGAACGATATCAACTCAGTGATTGTATAAAGCATTGAAGTTTAATAATACACTGACTCGGAAAATAATGTTACCCAAGTTTTTTAAGTCATACGGGAAGAAGATAGACGCACTTAGTATTGTTTTACTTGAATCTTCCTATTGAGGTTTTAGGACTGAAATTGATCAGTCTCCTGAGTTCCACTGCTAGCCACTATCCATCGTTGCTTATAATGCTTGTAAATTAAGAAGATAAACGCATTGTAACATTATACACATGTATAAAACATGATCAAAGTTACACATGAGTAATTGACAGAGACAAATATACGGGTGACAGATTAAGTGGAAAGATTAGAATAATTCCTCTGTCCAAATATTAAAATAAATCACGTGGGCGTGTAACAATACCGAGCACCAAAGATTTAGCAAACAGACAGGGAAACTTACCACATTGAAATTTATTATCACTGAGAATACTAAGACCTATCATCCATGCTGTAACTTAGTAACCGTTGCTAAATGATTCGTAAAAGGCTATGACACTTCATGCATTCAACATCTCCTTATTACGATCTGAAAGTATCTCACTATCAAAGGTTTTTATATATTTGAATATAGTTTTCACTAATTGACAAAGAATAGTTTGTTCTCAAAAACGCAAAACCCCTGTAATAGTATGATCATTTCTTTAAAATAGAATTAGAAGGCTAGTTCATAATAATGAATAGATTATTATGCGTTTGTCAACAGTCATCTCTATAAAATGGTGAATACTAGCTTAGACCATAAAAACTAAATGAATTTAAATCTTCTATAATAGTCTTACTCAAATTATTCTACCTCAATAATTTGAATATTAGTGATTAGTGGTTATGTTGTAACTCTGTTATTAGCTGAAGTGGCTGTTGATGTACGAGTTCACTTTACTCCTGGTGAATTACGAATTCAACCTGGTCGAGCATTCCGTTTGGAATGTGTGACGGATAAACCGGGCACATCTCCAGTTTTACAGTTTCTTGATGGGAGACCAATAACAAGTGACCCAAGATTTGTAGTTTCTAGGCCATCAACTGAACGTGCCATCATAGACGTTCCTGGAGGCCTTGATGCTAGAGACAGACAGATCATAATCGAGTAAGCTTAAATTTATTGACAATACTCATTCACATATTTTAATTATGTCATTACTAATTTCTGCTAGTTGTAGACTTATTGTAAATATTACTACAATTCAGGTTAAAATAGATAGTCTGTTTGTACGTAAATAGATAAATTAATCGGAAAAACTGAAAAGAATTCAATGAATAACCACTTTTTTAAAGAACAAAACTAAAAGTAACCGGATTCATATTTCACAAATATTTCATTGTAGGTTTATTAGTTTACTTTTTCTAAATTAAATTTAGGCATTTAATGTTTATAAAAATCTACAAATTAAATATTGTCATAGTTAAAATCACTAATCGACCATAGCTAGATCACTAATGGAAACCTGAAAGCGCAAGACTGCAGTTTCATCCTAGTTACGAACTCCCCAGCAGTGTTCATCCCTACTTAAGATGAGGAAATCAAACTCAGGACCTTCGGTCTCGCACACGAACCCTTAACCGCTAGACTCCATACCATTAATAACCATGTGTCTACTAAAGACTAGCTTCAAGATGTAACTCCTGGAGTTTATTGAGGAACCATGACCAGTGGAGTCCAGTCCGTGTCAAGTGTGAAAGAGTTATCCACCTCAGACAAAAAATGAAGGGTTATGCAAGATCATGGGGTGATTGAAGTCAAATATAAATAACTTTGGATACTGACTGAGTGATCTATAGCGCGACACCGAAATTGCTGTATTCGATTACGGAGTGTGAGATTGTTGATGGACACTTTTGAGGAGTCCCATACTAGGACAAGACTCCGGTTCAATGCTTCTAGGTTTTAAATGGTGGTCTAGCTTAGATCAAATTGTGATTTCAACCTTGAAAATACTACAATCTCGACAACCCCCCATACCAATGAATTAAATATTTATCGTGTATTATTGTTGTATGATCTTGATTAAGAAATTAAAAGAACCTCAACCACTCTCTTATTAAGTTCTGTAACCTGGATTTTCAAGCACTTCGATGAAACAGACTATTTTTTAATGAACATTTTTAAAAAACTGGGCTTGCATGATTATGTGAGTTATCTCAGCCGGTAAACGAAACGGCCGTCCAGTGCTTCCAGGTTTTCAATTGTGGTGGTCTAACATCAATCGGTTCATGATCTCAATCAAAAAAGAAAATCTGTTGGTTATGTCCTTGGCATCTAACTCATTGATCGATTCGTATGTATAGCCTCCTACTAGGTTTGAAGCTATTACGAGTTCACTTAGTATGCGAACGGAACAAAGACTTGTGACCGTAGACCAATAAGCTAGCTATTTTAAGCGTCCCAGCTCCGCTAACTAGAGGAAGAAGTCAAAGCTTGGAACCGGGAAGCATATTCCGTGAGTCAGAAGCACGAGTGAATAAAAACAGACACAAATTAAACGTATACATACAGCATAAAACTGTCCTTGGGAAGTGTAGCAAAAATAGCATACTAAAAATACACAACGGACCAATAGCTTTAAAGATTCTCCTAAGTGAGAAATACGAAATGAAGGTGAAAAGTGCTCTGTTGGCGCGAAAACAATGAAATTTAAATTTCCAAAATAAATTTATGAAATTAAGGCATTTACCATGTGAGTTCTGGGGATCTAACATCCCCAACACCTTCTAAGCGATGAAGCAAACGAGGATTACAAAATATAAATTAATACAGGAGCGAACAATAAATGAGTACTAACAGGTATATAACCAAGATGTTCGCTTTTCAGATCGTCGCAGGAAACAAATGTAACCGTTATCCAATTACTTACTGCAGTCTATTACAAACTAAAATGTTTGCCAAATGACATGTTAGTTTACATCTTTAATGTCTCCAGTGTTATAACTTACCAGATTCAATAGAAGATCTAACAGCCAAAGAAGATGAATTTAAATTTTCTTAGTATTTTGTTGAGTAAATTAGCCGTACTTATGGTTCAAGTCTAACTGTAGTATATTAAAAGCAAAATAGGATTTACTATATTGTATCAAATTGAATGTTTACTCTGAAATAAAACATATTCTAAATGCCAATCTTGCTAATTGGTAACTTAAACTAATTCCAATTCATTATCAAAACATGAAAGTAGATTAACCCCAGTTGCTTACTGACTTTTTAAATTTCAGATGTGTATCTCCCAGTGGTGAAAGAAAAACATCAACCATCTTCATCGAACTAGGTTGTCAACCAGGACAAAGACGATGTCCCAGTGGGCAGTGTATATTTGTTGGTCAATTCTGTGATGGGAAACCTGATTGCGATGATGGATTTGATGAGAAACCTGAAAACTGTGGTATATTTTTAAAATTCTGCATATTATATATCCTGATTACTTATTCCCGAATTTCTGCTCTCAGTAGATACTTACTTACTTTTTTATTTAGGCCTGTTATCACCTATGAATCTTAGGCTGCCTACCAGGATCTTCTATCCAACCTTGTCATCAGACAATCAGTAAAAAAGCTCCCATAAGTCATAATTTGAGTCGCATTATGACAACTGTCAAACCTGTATTTCAGTGTGTTTTGAAATTTTTTAAATAAACAAAAGTTTAGAAAATATACGGATTTGCGAAAATATATCAGCACTTATTGAGTAGGGTAGAAGGAAAATAACATAGAATGTTCTAATCAGCAGAAACCATCTCCGGTTATAACCAGATCAAGGGTGACACTATATAACCCTCGATAGTACTTACATATTATTAGGTTGTAATATTAACAGAAAGTAAACAAATGCTTTCTCACCGATGACTTTTCAAATACAAGGAACCTTTTGAATAAACAATGTCAACAGATAAAATATGATCTGCATTCAGATGTCGTTCTCCGCCAAGACAGGTTTGCGTTATGCTCTGATGTCCAATCGTTATTTGTCTGACGTCCATTTCTCACAAATTCTAAATCTGTTCAAATTGACGTCCTGCCGAAAGGAATAGCATCATATTATTATACACAACTCTGGAGTTAACGTTGAACATAAATGTTATTCACTGGGTATATGATGAAACTTAACTTATTTTTATTATTTTGAATAGAATAGAGCTAACAGTTTTCTAATTCCTATGATTACAGAGTATTGTGACCCAATAACTAAACCATGCGAAGTTGTGAATGGTAAACCACCTAAAGAAAAAACCTATGAACTACATTGGAGGTGTGATGGCGAAGATGATTGTGGAAATCGGTTTGATGAACAAAATTGTCTAAATGGTAAGTATTTGTTTGAATAATGAAACTCACAATATACATGTACAGAATGAGATAACATTTGTTGAATGACTTTAGTTCATTTTACAAATAACATGTTAGTAAAAGTTAAATTATTATTATCGAAATACCATTAATTTTCACTATGTAAATGTTTTCAGTTGGAATTTCTTAGGAAATGATGATACGAATTTTTATGTGGACGTTAGTGATAAAATGTTAAAACACAAATATCAAACTGTTAAAATATGTTATCGAATTGACGATAATTAATTTGTAACGAATCAAATATCATTATTTTTTCTGGTTAGCGTTTTTTTCAGCAAGTTATTTTTCTACGGGATGGGGTCGCTAACCCTATACCCAACACTACTCCTTTTTCCGGGCTTGGGACCGGTAGTAGCTCCAGGGGGACTTCAGGCGGAGTTCAAATATCAGATGATTGTTATCATTTCTCCTACATATTCACTAACGATATTACTTATTAGTGATCTAATTGCAGTTTTACTTAAACAGCAATTTAATTTACAACTTATATTTTACTTTCAGACACTCGTGTACCAGATAAAGAGTGTGGTGCTACTCATTTCAGATGTGGTACTGAACCATATCAGTATATACCGTTTGCATACTGGTGTGATGGAGGTCGTGATTGTCGAGGTGGTGAAGATGAAGCTGATTGTTGTAAGGAAATAACTTCAACTTTTCGGTATTTTATTTTTTATTTTACTTATCATCAGATGAAAATAGTTTTGTATATAGATGTTATATTTAGAAAAGAACTAACATAGACTAAGGTGTAATTTCAGTGGTTGAGATCATGAATCAATTAAAGCTAGGTCACCATGGAAAACCTGGAAGCACTGGATGGACGTTTCGTCCTAGTATGGGACTCCTCAGCAGTGCGCGTCTACGATCTCGCCTCGCAATATTCCAACCAAGGACCTATCAGTCTCGCGCGTGAGCGCTTAACCTCTAGACCACTGAGCCGACATTCAACGGTGTTAACTTCCAACTTCAACCAATTCACGAAGTTGCGCTACCGTCTACCATTGTCACCAGTGAGTTACTATCTCACAGCAGGTTTTCCATGGTGGTCTAGCTTCAGTTAACTCATGATTTCAACTAATAAATTGCTATAATATCCAAAAAACCTCTCTCTACTTATATATTTCTCAAGGTATTTACAAGTAAAACTAAAGTTTGATTAAACATAAAATGATAGTTCCGAATAAAACAGAGCCAAAAAATCAATATGAATTGGAGAGAACATTAAATTATCACATCAGCCTAGGTTGTAAAATGGTTTACAAATGACACATTTTCAACTAATTAAAATAGCGTTCGAATACTGGCTTTAAAAAAACAATAATAGTACATCTGTGGTGTGTGCTACTTATATTGATATAAGTAGTATATGACGCGAGTTAAAGAACGTAATGTCTGGCAGCAGAATATGGTAAAAGATCAACAAAGGAAGAGCGAGAACGCAATGCAATTTGTAAAAAAACGCATGAACAATGAAATGTGAGATAATAGACTGATGATTGCAACAGGAGCAGTCCAGTTTGATATGATGGATTGATATTTCGCAAATTAACGATTTACTATTTGGTTTTTCTATTTTATAAAGTAACTGTAATTTTGTGCTAAATACAATTCGATTGTCCCCACCCTTGTTCTGTTCACTACATATCTTTTAAAATCTCTCGAAAGATTATAAGTAATGAACTGCAAACTGCACTGCAGCTATAGCAAACAGATTATCGATTAAAGTGTGGAAACACTTGTCTATTTATGAATGAAGTATTTTATACATAAAAGTGTTGAATACAATTCTGCGAGGATTTTGTCGCTTCTATACGCAATAACTACATTTTTTTGTAATTCAAATATCTTAAGTGAGTATTACATTTGTAAAACTAGTGATGAAAACTGTTTATTGGTTAATCTTCATTAACTTAATGACAAAAGTCCTACCTAATTACAAGTATGTTTCAACACTTTAAATAAATTTATTTCACTTATCCACAACTATTTCAACAATTTGAGTTAAGATATAAAATAGCAATAATCCTGTAAAAACACTTAAGAAATTCATCTTCGTTACATGAAAACACATCAAAATGTGTTCATTTCTGTTTTATTCTTTATAAAACCTACGATATGCTATCAATAAATTGTTAACTGTGATTGACAGTGGTAAATATTGACTTGGATTGTGTGTTCAAATTATTGTAAGTGCAATAATACAACTACTAAAGGAGATTTTTGTGCATCTATAAAAGGTTTCAAAGTAAATATCACTTATTGTAGTGTTCATCATCAGCATAGTGCACGTCAATATTTTAGCTGATACGTTTTTTGTTTAAGATCATTTTTATCATACTCAAATAATAATCAAAATAGTTTTTGAAATTGATTGCCAGTGTTTCAATCCCCTTTCAGCCCCACCTACCATAATTCAAACTCAACGTCAAGAAACTCATAGAGTTCGTCCTGGTGGTAGACTGATTTTAGAATGTGAAGCATCCGGTGTTCCACCACCTATGATTATTTGGCGTTTCAATTGGAGATGCCTTCGTGATGAAACACGAATGCGGACCCAAGCTGTCCCAAGTTCGCTTGGATGTAAGGGTTCAAAGAGTCGTCTAACAATCGAAAACTTCAGGGAAGGTGACGATGGGATTTATAATTGTGAAGCACTGACATCGAAAGAAAGAGCTATGTCCCAGGATATATTTGTTTTTCTATCTCCTTAGTTATGTTTTCATTTTCACGTGATATTATGGAATATCAAGTTGAATGAATAGTTATATTATCATTTTATCATATATTTTTAAAATTAATTTAACTCTTTGTGTCAAAATAGCAATGTTCTGAATTTCAAAATAGTATATCTTTCAATCATCTTACAAACAATGTATTAATTTTGCCGTTTGAAATTCTAATTCCCAAGTTATACATTATTCTGTTATATGAAATTTAAAATATAATGCTTATTTGAAGAGATACTAACTTTTAGTACACCATTTACATAGTTTTATGCTCAAAGATCAAAGTTTACTTATTTAATTACTTATGCTTGTTATCCGTCAAGTGGGAGCATAAGCCACATAGTTGTTTCACATTTCCATCTCTTACAGATTTGTGTGCTGTCGTTGCTAGGTCTTCCACGAATTTCTGTTTGTCAGCTCTAATGCTCCTGTAAGGCTTGGAACTTGTTGTCGAGAGTTATCTTGAATTCGTTGATTTTCTCATTATGTCGAAGGAAGGCTGTATTAAACCTTTGTAATGCTGCTTCTCCCGTTGTCCATTAGTTCCGTAGCTTCAGTTTCGTCTTGACAACCACCAGCTGGTGCTGATTTGAAGCTATGTCAAGTCCTCTCCTGTTTCTCAGTTTTTCCATTGACCTGAATTCTTCAGTTATACAGATATGATCAATCTGATTCTCTGTAGTTTGATCCGATGAGACCCATATAGCTCTGTGTATGCGTCTGTGAGGAAATTTAAAGCCATCTATAACGAGTTTGTCAAATGCACCTAAATTTCTTAACCTGTCACCATTCTCATTCGTTTTTCCCAGTCAATCCATATCGTTCAATGAAATCTGCATAGCCGGTGTCCTCCATTCTGACTTTAGCGTTTAGATCTCCTATTAGGATTGTCAGGTCCTTTGTTGAGCATTCTGCTATGATCGATTGCAGCCTCTCATAGAACTGATCTCTATCGTCGTCGTTGCTATCATAAGTGGGTACATAACACTGGATAATATTCATTTGATTTCCTTCTTATTTGTTTTGAAGGATGCTTTGATGATTCTAGATCGGTGAGTCTCATCCTATAAGTGCTTTACATGGTTCTTTGTACAACATCAGACAAACTGCCTGAGTGTGTAGAGAATATTCCTCTCTGTGACCGGAGTACAATAGCATTTCTCCCGTACCTAACTTTTGATGTCCAGCTTTGGTCCAATGTGTTTCACTCTTTTCGAACACCATCAAGTTGCATCTCCTCATTTCCATAGTTATTGGGCTGGTACTCCCGGTCTCTCACATTGTCCGGACATGCCATGTACCTATATTAGTTGTTGCTCTGGTTGTTAGGTGCAAGGGTTTTTTCTACTGGTTGGAGTTGCTGATACCACACTTAGCCCCCTCTACCCGGTCTTGGAACCGGCAGTAACCCTAGAAATGCTACAGGCAGAATTCAGGGATTAAAAGAATCTTTGAAATATTTCCAAGGATCTAATACATATAATGTTGAATATGACCAAAACAACAATTGAGACGGAATAATATGAATCTATTATATTTCGTGGTTTCCGCTCAACTGCCTAAGACCATGTATGTATTAATATGCAGCACTGATATACGATACAATGTAAAGCAATTGACAATCATGATAAAAAGGACCAGAATGACAAATATCAGTAATTACTATAGGTTTGTATATTTAATGTGTGGTAGCGGAAGCAAAATATGACTAGTATGATATAATGTGGTCCAGTCTATGTACAGCCTTTCGAATGGGCATTCAGTCTAGTTGTACTATGAACTCGATCCCCAGCCCTATTATCGTATTATAGTAGTGTTGAGGAGAACCAGAAAACTCCTTTAAAAAAGCCGAAAAATGCTCTGAGAACGTTGAGAAGCATCTTATCCAATCAGCATTCAATAGACGTTTTGCCATGAACATATAGAAAGTGAGAAGTCACATGTCGTGCTTCTGACTGAATGATTACCCATACTGTTACTATGTTTAGGAACGTTCCAGAGATTTCCGAAAGCTCTACGTCATCTAAAATACTATAAATACCTTAGATTTTCTATACATAAACAGAACCTTTGGAATAAAGCGCTTCTTCCGTATTTCGCGCCTTTTCGCTCGTGTTCAAGTCACTGTGAAGATTTAGCCTGGGGGTTAACAGAAGTGCTTAGGAACTGAATCCAGAGTTACATTCGAAGACTTATCAAGTAGTATCCTGCGAGAAAAATCTGATCTGGTTATCAATTTTTGCTCCCATTCTGGGAGTGATGCCATAATCTTTTGCCGCAAACTATCAACAACATAATCAGTACAAACTTCAAGTAGAAATGACAGAACAAGCTGTGAGTCATATGTGGAGAAATTCAAACACTTCACTTGTACCTGAAGTTTGTGTTAATGTTCTTCAGAAGAACAATGAAAGCCGTACGACCAAACCATCTAGCTCAGAGAACAAAACTTCACCTAAATTATTCACCTGAGTTACAAATATCCACAATCTCAAAGTATCATTTTATTTCGTGAATTTTGCTGACGTTTAAATTACATTATTTATTGATTTTAAGCAGTGTAGAAAAAATAGGAAGAGAAAAATATCCTTTTATTTCTTTCCATAAAATTAAGCATGAAAAGAAGAAGGAACAGCAATTATGTCTGAAATAATTTTTATGCAACTTGTTGAATTATTTTATCACTGAAGGCACGTTCCATCAATTTGATATTCACAGTGATTTTTGGATGTTGTACCATAAATTCAGCTGCAACTTTGGCTTTGATTAAATATTGTATAGACTTGTAAGTAAAGAAATAAAATACGCAAGACCAACAATAAATACAATAGTAATGCGAGAAATTATGTGACAATACTTTTTTGGTAGTTTCACTTATATAGCTTTGTTTCGTCAAAAATTCAAATGCATATTTAGTAGGATTTTGAAGATATCCATTGAACATCCCAAGTTTAGATACTTTATAAGTAGTTTGGCAATGTATAGAAATCACGAACCGATCAATGTTAGACCACCATTGAAGACCTGGAAGCATTATACGGCCGTTTGGGATTCCTTAGCAGTACGCATTCACGATCACGCAAGCTAGATTTGAACACGGAAACTTCGGTCTCGCGCGAACGTGGAATTCAACAACCTCCGCAGCCCATGCTGAAAATTACTATGTGCTCACTGGTGACTAGCTTTGTGAGATAATTCTCGGAGTTCTTGTGAGAAGCTGTGATCAGTGAAGTTTAACCGTATCGGGTATGAGACAGCCACTCACTGAAAACAATGGAAGGTGGTTGCGGGGTTGTGAGTGCGCACTGCCGAGGAGTCCCATACTAAAACCAAACGGTCGTTTAGTGCTTTTAGGTCTTGAACGGTCTAAAATTGATTGGTTAATGATTTCAATAAAATCGAAAAATTTCCATAACTCTATACTGAAATTTTGACATTGTTCTATTTTGTTGTTAATGTGTAGACAAGCTAACTTACATACGTCACTTCTAAGATTTAATTAACGTGTTTCAATATATCTTCATTCAAACGAAATAAAGGGTTCCAGTAACATTATTTCTACATACGTCAGATATGAATAGGCTACACTAACTGGTGGAGAAGTACGTTAATAAGAACCTTTATAGAATACGTTAAAATTGGATTCTTTTTTCGAAACTGATAAATGCTTACTTCTTGCTTTCTTTCTAAAATATAGTTTAGCATTGACAAAGTCAAATACAATTGAACTTTTGGATCTGGCTTGGCTGGATTACAAGTACTTGCATTAAGCTCATTTTCACTGATACGCTGATTATGATATTTCTCGATTGCATACAGCATTTTTTCAGCTTCAGCTTTTTGTGCATCATCTGTTAATTATAATCAGTATATTTTGTTTATTCAAAGATACAATAATAAGATGTCTTATTAGTTGGGTACATACAAAAAAATTAATTCTAGTCTTAAATACTTACTCGACTCAAATTACATAGCTCTTCTAGAAGTAGCTTTCAGAACTATTTAAAAGGTATGACAGTTCAACTACAAAAGAATACGAGTACTAAAATCACCATCTTAAGTTTGATGCTTGCAGTCCCTTATTTTACCTTGATCTTAGAAAATGGCATACAATCAAAACAACTTTCTAATTTCATAAGTTATTACTTCACTTTTTCCTTATTCACTTTTGTCTGATATTTATGAAGTAGACAGTTATCATTCATGAATGATCTGTTTATAATTTACTGTTTTGGATTATCATTTAAACTATCAAGCAACTTATCTAATCAATGTAAAACATTTTCAGGTACCTTTTTACTAATCCAATATCGTTCTATTTTATTAAACTTATTTATGATATGAAACTATAAATACAATTATACAGTTTCAGTGAATGATTTTTTCGCAGTACAGTATATCTATCATTTCATGTTTAAAGGTAATTTATAACAAAGTTGTACGAAAACATATTTGCTATATTGTACTTATTAGTGAAGAATATTGAGAACCTTGAACAATCTGATGTTTTCTAAGATATTCTAGTTACATATGACCAAGTAGTTGAAAACAACATTACGGGACTAAATAGATCACGGCTAACTACATTAAAGGACTGAAATAGGTAAAGTAATCATACAGTGAGTAGTAAATAACATCATATTTAGTAGTTAACGTTGTAATTAATTTTGTTGTGAAAACAGTCGCAAAGATAACATGTTAACAATAATTCTCTTTATTAGTTATCCAATAAATGAGGCGAGGAAAATGGATGCTACAATACTACAAGACAAGTTCGACAATGACATTCCTTCATTATATCAATAAGTAAAACTGATAATTTATGGAGTTTCAAAAGAAAAGGGGGAAAGACAGAGAAGTAACCACTACTAGATGTTCTGTACTCTACTGCTAAGTACACAGGGGAAAAATAATAATAGACTAAACATTGAATGGTAGTTTTTAAAAAAAACTAGTTAACATTATGTCTACTATGTTTCATTTAAAACCTTTTATCGAGTTGACAGTCATTAAGGTGATATAATACAAACTATCAAACAAACGTAGAATATAAGACAAGACATCAACCATGATTAGTAAATTCGAAGTAACTCGTGGGAATGTCAACTCATTTTTAGGCAAAAAAAACTGCGAAGCACTATTGGTTATAAGTTGTGAAAACATACACTGTTAACTCGTGTGAATGAGTCTCTAGAACATGTAGACTACATAATATTGTTATTTCACCTCTTAAA